GTATGTGAGAACACTGAACTTTGAAGTTAATGACTTTCTCCAGGTATAGACGTGCTTAAGGAGTTTATATATAAACAAATATAATAGTACCAGTTAAATGTCTGAATGCAGTGTAGCAATATTCAAGTTTTCTTTAAAAGATGCAAAATATAAGTATTTTTTATTTTCATGCGATATATACACTTAATTTTACAAGAATCTTTATTTTGGAACACAGTGAATTAATTAAGTAATATTTAACAATTTATCCTTTAACCTTGATATATGTTGACGTCAATCATACATGGACGATACCAGCGGTTTGAAACTATCAACTAGTATTTCCTTCCAAGTATATTGTACAATCGCCTAAAATGTACGTAGATTAGATTACGTTTTTTTGCAAAATTTGTTTTAAAATGGTGTCATTAGTTTTTAAATGGATTAACACCAGAGCTTTGCGCTGGGCATCTCATAACTTTCTGTTACCAGGCTAATTACACGAGGTTCCCAATGGCTCGGAGAGCTTATAACAGTAAATATCGGGGTTCTATACCAGTGGTGGGCACAGCACAGATAGTCCATTGTGTAGCTTTGTGCTTAACAACAAACAAAAAATTAATATTTACCTGACATCCACTGGCTGTTGCGTAACCTGCCAGGAAGCTCTTTCAGCCTGATATCATCAGGTTTCGCATGGTCTAACACTCCCGCCATCGAAACGTATCTTTACCAGTGTTTCCAAGTCTAGCAAGAAGCATAAGTGACACTGCCATTCAAAACAAGCGGCTTAGTCTTTTCTGAAAGAAGCCCAGAACAAGCAGCACTGACTTCTAAAACTGCTGCTTTACAGCTTATCCTCAAAATGGAGACTTGTGCGGCTTAACTGAAATATAGAATGTGTCAAGCGGGCGAGTCAGAAAGTTCACGATTGTGGGTATGTTTTTTTAATTTAACAAGAGTGATCCTAAAATAGTAATGTTGTATAAGCTATTCATTGACCCAGTCAATTACCGAAACCACTCCTACAAACACTTTACCGTGTGTTGAAGTCAGCTATTCCAAATATGCAACCTCAGAATAAAATAAACCAAAAAAAAACACAATTTAAAAAAATTAAAAGCGACTTATTAAACAACAAGCCAAATTTTCTTTACTATAAGAGGACTTGGCAACACACATCTTCACATTGTTATAGACCCACTTACTATAAGAGGACTTGGCAACACACATCTTCACATTGTTATAGACCCACCGCCATGTTTTCCTTACTATAAGAGGACTTGGCAACACACATCTTCACATTGTTATAGACCCACTTACTATAAGAGGA